ATATGGGGAAGTGTACATTTCATCCTATAATTTTATATAATGTTCCAGTTTGTCAGATTGTTTTGACCTGGTTGACTCTGTTGATACTATTGTAATATGCCTTGAATGGAAGTGCTCAACTTTAGTGGATTTCATTGTGAATTTTGGTCATACACTTAGCGATTATCACTTTTAGGGGATTCCCTCTAGCCTGTTCCTAGATCAAGCTAATTCTGATCTAGAATCCTGAGTTCTGACTTTGGAGAGTTTTGATTTTGTTTTTGGGATGTTAACGCATTTCCAGCTTATATGTGGTCATATTTTTCTGGCAAAAAAAAAAAAAAGGGAAAAAAAGACGCATGTCTAAATTCTAACCATTCTCTCTCTAGATATTCTATGCATCAGCAAAGTATAAATTATATTACCATCTTAATAATAATAAAAAGTAAAAATTAATTACCACGGGCTAACATAACATATTTCACATCTCATTTCATCTCACTATATATAAAATCTTGTAATTTTGTGAGCAAGATTTTGAATCTATATATGCACCCAGAACAATTAACACACCCCGTATGCAATGAATCTGCAGATGAACTAATGTTTGTCAAGAACTTTAAAACGCAAGGTTGATGACTTAATATAATTACCATAGAATCAGCACAGATAATAATTATTAATCGTACGTTTAGAATGTATCTATAAGTATGTGTGCGTGTGTGCAAGTGTGACATAAAATATAGACTATTACATTATTTGTTTCTCTTGCACTGTGACTTTTATGAACAAGTGATGATGAGTAAAATACATTTACTTTCCATTTTGTTTTAATTATAGAAACCTCTCTTCTATTTTCAAAATTTATATCTGCACTTTAATCCAATTGTTAACATGCTAAAAATATTTCATTCCATACTCTAAAATACTTAATTTTTTATTTGTAATTATGTTAAAAATTTTAAAATTATTATTTTACCCGTATGATTTAATTGTCAACTCTTCCTCTTAATTTTAAAAACTTTAAATAATTATGTCGATACTTAGATAAATAATTTAAATTTTATGTTTAAATTAATAAAATAAATATAAATATAAATTATATTGAATTTTTATTTTATTAAGTTTTTTAACTGCATGTTTAAAATAATATTTTGGTCAATTGATATATTTAAATTTTATAAAATGTTACTAAATAAATACATTTATATAATTAAAAATTTTAAATTTAAATAAAAAGGTAAAAAAAACATATGCATCAATTTTGTTTAATTTGAATGATTTTTAGACCACATTTATATTTAAAAAAATGAATATTTTGGTCAAATACAAATAACTTAATAATCAACTAATGGTCGGATGAATAAAAATGAAATTTTAAAAAGATAGAGAATGTTTATATTTTATAGAAAAAATTATCTTTTAATCCTTCAACTTTTAATTCATTTATAACTCAATCCCTTAACTATTACTCACTGAGTCTCAGTCCCTCAACTATAACTCACCGCAACTCAATCCCTCAACTTTTGATTCACCTATAATTCGATCTTTATTTTTTATTTTTTTTAAATTTTTTTATCAAATAAGAGGATAAAAAATGCTCATATATTATTTTAAAATACCCTCCTCTTACTCATTGATGTGAGATATAAGTTAACATAAAAAAAAATTAACAAAAGTTAAGGGACTAATTTGTAAGTAATTCAAAAGTTGAAAGACTGAGTCATAAGTGAGTCATAATTGAAAGACTGAGTCATAGCAAGTCATAATTGAGGGATTAAGTTGCAAGTGATTTAAAAGTTAAAAGACTAAAAGATTAATTTTTTTTATTTTATAATTATTTATAATAAGAGATGTTGATATAAGTTTTTAAAATAGGAGAAATGTACATGTAATTAACATATAAATACATTTTACTCAGAGAATTTTACTCGGGGGGGGGGGGGGGAATCTTGGTGGTGAAGTAGTTGAAGCGTTGAACAATTAGAAAAGATAGAGCTATGCTATGATAAAAAGAAAAGATAAAGCTGTTTGTATGAAAGAAAGAAAGAAAGATAAAGCTATGAAGGAAGGCCCACCAAAACGCAGAAATTGAGTCCGCTTTCCGACAGCCTTTGCTATGTCGGCTTCCTATTCTAGATTTGGCTCCATCCAAACTTGGCTTTAGTTATAAATTTTAAATTGAAGATTTGATTTTTGGAAGATTGCTCTCCTCTTAGTTTAATAGTTCAAAGACAAATTTTTCCTAATTCTATCCGTAAAAGATCCGTATCTTGATTTAATTCATAAAAAAATTAAACAATTAGATTTATGATCACTAAAAATGAATGAAATAAAATAAATTAAAATAATCAACATAAAAATAAACTAAATCATTATCCTTTCTTACAGTAAATATAATAAAACTTATTAATATATATTATAAATATGAAAATTATCATACCCTTAAAAAATTTTATGATTTATAATTCCTAACTTCATGAACTAAATTTTTCCTTTCCTTTATAAATGTGGTTCATTATTTCTTTTAATCATTTTATTTTTATTTTTATTTTTTAATTTATTCTATTTCATTTCTTATTATTAACCAAACAGTGACCTTAGTTTTTAAATTAACTTTTCTTTCCCAAAAAAGTGATGCCGCCCCAAAATATTATTGGTGTTATGAATATATTATAAGCCAAATGGGCGTTTATGTTCACATCATATATATTACATATATTATATATACATTCTTTATTGTTTTCGTTGTTTCACCAATATCAACTATTTATAACAATTGACTAAAACAAAAATGAGTTCATTTTTCTTTTTTCCTCGAAGGAACTACTTTTTGTAGGAAAAATAATATTTAAGGGACTACATTACTCATTATGAGTGTTGGTTAGTGTAGAATTTGTTGATTACTGTAGGTCTGAAAAATCTGAATAGAAGAAAAGAGGAGTGAAGGACGGTAAGTATGTGAAAAAAAAAAAAGGAGAGAAGGATAGGGTGAAAGAGACAAGAACAATATTTTCTTTTTCATTTTAAATACATATACAGAAAATAATTAATTTTAGGATTCCATTTTTTTAATCTCATACCAAGCATTTTTTTTTAATCAACACTCATAATGAGTAATGCAGTCCCTTAATTCTATTTTCAATTTCAATTATATCAAAATGCTTTTTACAAACTAAATGAGGCTGTGGTGAAGGTAGGGTGATATATAATCACAATAATCTAGGTTACTGCATAACATTCTCTCACAACCTATGAGAGGCAGGCAGGGTATTCTTATTATATAAAACATACAATGTTCAGGTGTCCTAATTACAATCAGCCACCAAGGCAATCTCCAGGAATCTAAAAGAATGAAGAAATGAAGCAACAGCCAAGAGCCCAAGAATGCACCTCAGCCCAAAAAAACCTTAACTACTATGGGCCTTGGATCTAGAGCCCGATAACCTTGGGCTTTAGTCTATTACTTTTAACTTATATTAGATGAATGCATAACACTGGGCGTTTGCCCTCTTTCTCACAAGAAGAAGAACAAAATGACATTTAAAGCTATATCAAAGAAATTTATTACATTAAAAGTCCACTAGTTTTGCATTTGAAATTATCTTCTAAAAGTATGCATATATTATTGTTAAAAACTGAACTTTAACAAATTTAAGAAACTAAATAGAATAAATAGAGTTTCTAAAAAACTTTATCTTTAGATAACTAAACAGGGAGAAGAATAATCATTCACGGACTAGATTTTCTTTGACTTAAGCCTGCTCATAAATTACCTAAAATCCATTCATAAGAAAGCACTGCGTGCCCATGAAAGTAAACCCAGAATAAATAGGAATGAATAAGATTGATCTCTTTGTTATTGTACCAAGACTGTCATGAAAATGAAGAAACAAAACACTCTCGGACATTATTTTTTCTCCTTTTGCTTGATAGCGCTCTAAATTTGTGAATGCTGGGAATAGAAAAGAGAATAATCAAGATAATTCTGGGAATCAACAATCATTCTAGACCAAAATAAACCTTGTCTGGTCATGGTTTTTTTTCTGGTCCATAAACCTGTAAATACGCTCACAAAAATAATCACTTGGTTTTGTTTCAAACTCGTGCCTAATTAGTTTCTTTATTCGCCTTCGGATCATTTCCATTCACAATGTGAAAGTAGAGGGTCTATTCTCTGAGAGAGAGAGAGAGAGAGAGAGAGAGAGAGAGAGAGAGAGAGAGAGAGAGAGAGAGAGATACAAGAGAATGTGGTTGTATATTGTTGTCTGGCTTGCTGCCTCCTCAACCATGGGAAGATTATTAGTGTTACTAATGAAGCTTTTAAGCATCTTTGCCGCTTTCAGCTAGGACTGAGCTCCAGACTTGAAGCTTCAAGATAGAAAGCAATTTTAAGCCGCTTAGGCCTTTTATTTATTTATTTATTACATGTTATTTATTATGCTAATATAATTAATATGATTAATTTTGAACATAACCAATTGTGTTATATGGTATAATTGATGTACAAAATTAATTAATAAAATCAAGTAAAACTATATTTTATGAAAATATATCCAAACTCCTTTTTTTTTTTTTTTGATAAGATATCCAAACATTGTTATTATATGCTATACTATCATCTTCTTAAAAATATTTAAATACTCAAAGTCAATTATAAACTTAAAATCATAATTATCTTATAAACTATTGCTATTTACTTTACAATTTATCTTTTCAATTTATACTTCTTTAAAAATATCTAAAAACTATACAAACTTTGTTTTATAAATTATGATTTTAGATTTATAATTGATTTAAAATACGAGAATATTTTTTAAAAATTATAATTCTAAATTTATAATTCACTTTGACTTGTAGAACATGTGCTTGAATATTTTTTTAAAAAAAATTATAATTTTAATGTTTTGAGGTTATAATTGATTTATTTTTACATTAATAAAAATATTCAGATATATTTTGACATAACCATGTTCTGACTCTAAAAATTAATCATGAATTCCGAATGAAATCCTTTTCCGTTTTCAGTTTCATAATGAAACTTCAGAAGACAGCGGCTTTCCTTCTTCGTTTAATCGTGTTATCATCCTCTACCTCAGACTTCAGCAGAGTTGCTCTCGTCGCTCTCCTTCCTCCGTGGCTTGCGGCCTCAGTGACTCCTCTAGTCTGCTGCTTGTTGCTCTTCATTCATCTCCCTGGTCTCCCTCTCTTCGTTCATCAACATTATCTCTTCTTCTCGGTGTCTTCTCTTTGCTTTGTCTCGGTAGGTCACATAACTATTTGATTTTTTTTTTTAACTGTTTCTGTCGTTCATCCTCTGCTCGTTCTCGCTGATCTCAAATGCTGAAAGTTATTAGTTATAGGGTTTGATTTGTATCAGAACTGATTTTGTTGTGATATTTATGTATTTTATATCTTGATGGGTATTGTTGTATTTTACATTGTTGTGATACTTCTCGTTGTTTGTTTTCCTGAAGCAAAGACCACATAGGTTATTTTTACATAATAACTTATGAGCTGGGATACTGCATAGCTAATTGGCTATATGATAGTTACCCTGAACAAAAAAAATTATTCGATTGTGTCATAGAGTTAAGTTGCTCTTTGCTTCTTTGTTATCATTGTTGCCCGCACTTTTCCAACCCCATGAAAACACCCACAATTCAGCTTTCAAAGCATCACAGCAACCAAAGCTTCTTGCATAACTAAATAACCAGTTTTCCTCATAGTCTCGCATGACATCAATTTTCTAGATAGGTCTTAACCATCATTCTCCCTCTTTATTATCGGCAGCAAGCCAAGCGCACCCTAAGAATTGGTACTCTTCATGGAAATTCTCTCGCACCCTCTCTGCTGCTCCACCACCATGTTCATCAAGAACAGTTTGAGCTGTAGACAACCCCTTCAGATGCGCCGCCAGCATAATATTTTCATTTCAAGACATATTTCGTCACTATCTTTACCAGTCTGCACCAATCTCTCCCACCATTCTGGTAAGTAAATATGAAATTATGTATATTGACCTGTTTGTATTTCCCCCGTAGAGCTTATGGAAAGAATGGGCAAGTTATTTTCCCATGTTGACTTGTCTTCATCAATTATATTATTCTTTTCAACCGATTGAGTTTCAGTGAATTTCTTTTTCATTGGTTTGTTCCTAGTCTTACCCCACTTTAAATGATCCAATCTGTTATTTCTCACTGGTTTATTTTTCTGGATTTCTACCAGTTTTATTCGCGATGCCAGATAACCAGTTGAGCCTTGGGGTGGACAGAGAATGGGCACTACAAGGTGAACTTAATTGATGTACCTAGTTAACAATTAAACTAGGAATATTTATCTAGTCTACTTTGGGGTAGATGCGATGATAGTATAGTAGTATTAGCATTTGAATTCAAGGTGTTCTTGGTGGGAGATTGAAGGAAATGCTAGTTGATACTTCTTCATTTACTTCTTCTATTTTCTTATTGATCATGCATAGAGTCTTTTCCACTCTACCCACTTTATTGCTACCTATCATGTTCTTGTCAGGACCAATTCTTGTTTTATTTGATCGGTTTCAAATGTATCCACTTTTGTTGTCGAATTTTTCTGGAAACATCAAAAGGATGACACAAACATAATAAGGCCATTTCATTTTACTTTGCGTTCTATTTTTTTTTTCTCTTTTCCTAATTGTTGTTTCCCTTTTCAAATTATGGAATATATATAACCTTGGCATAATTTTGTGGCATTCTTTCCATTTAAAGTTCACTTTGCAAATCCAGTTTCTCCTTCTTTTCACAGTGACCATGCTGCATTTTTTTGGGAACATTCATTTGTTTTCAGAGAAAAGTTGCTAAAAGACCTATGAATTTTTTTTTTTTTTTTACAACATGGAACATATGTTATTATTATTGCCAGATTTTTATTCCTTGCGGAGGGATGTTGAAATTTTGTCAAGACGTGTTGAAGAGACTAGAGAGTCTGCTGGTATACTGCGATTGGAACAAGAACTAGCTAATTTGGAGTTGAAAGCTGCCGATAGCTCCTTTTGGGACAATCAAGCCAAAGCTCAAGAGGTTCTTCTGACCTTGACTGATGTAAAAGATAAGATTAGAGTTCTCACTGAGTTTAAAACCCAGGTTAGATATAATTCTTTTACCAATTTTCAACCATTTTTAACCTTATCCTCTACTTTTGTAGTCCTTCCTCCTCTTCGTCAATGATATAAAATAAGGACAAAGGTTTATAAAAAAGTTTGATCTCATGTGGCTAGTTTATAAAAAAGTCTGTGTTCTATAAGTATTGCTGAATTAAATATTCATTATGCTTGTCTGGACTCGAAACCCTCCCTCCCTCCCTTCCTCTCTCTCTCATACACATACTCTTATTTGTATCTCCTGAAATCTTGCCATATCCTAGATTTTCCCCCTGCACCTATTCATGATCGTAAAGTTGAATATATGTCAAAATGACTGTAGGTTGAGGATGCAGAAACAATAGTTATGCTGATGGAGGAGATGGACTCCATTGATAGAGGACTTCTTGAGGAGGCTGTCAATATTATCAAAGAACTGAATAAAGCACTAGATCGATTTGAGTTGACTCAACTTCTTTCTGGTCCTTATGACAAAGAAGGAGCAGTTATCTCTATTACTGCTGGTGCTGGTGGTACAGATGCACAGGTAATTATATATCCTCCATAGCAGTGGCTAAACTGTTGAAGGCCAGAACTAGTGAACCTGCCCCCTCTCCAACAAAGAAGGTTTCGGGAGGAAAAAAAAAGCCAGAATGAGATTTATTCCTTTTTGTTTCTAGTTAGTTAGAATATATACATACCACTTCAATTATGTCTTAACATTGTTTACCTCTCTAGGCTTTTAGGAAAAATCTGTTTGTCAATATTAATTTTACGCAAATAATCCGGTAGGGACTCAAAACAAATATAAAGCAAAAAGGAAGAATCTATTAAATTAAATAGAGCAAGAATCTCACTCTAATTAACTTAATAGCCAAATAGGAGAATCTCCAAGGGAAAAACAAGGTTTATTAATCTTTGATATTCCGCTGTCATACCAGCCAGGATATTTATAACCAGAAATTACAATTAAACAAATCAAATAATGCAGATAATTAGCCTAAAATCAGGAAATAACTGACTAGCACGGGGGTACCCCACTAACGAAGTGAAGGTCCTCTTATTCAGCTACTAACAGTTACTAACAGCAAAACAAAACAATGATTAATTAAAGTAACAGCAAGGAATTAATTTAAATCAGGTAAATCCCTCATAATCTGCGTAACAGCATCAGATTCTGTTATCTTCCTCCTCTTGCTGCGTTGATAAGTGATTATGGGTCTGTTATGCTGACTTGGACCCTTATCACTATCCCATCTTGTGTAATTGTACCTAGATAGGAATTCCCAAGTGTTAATGTGTGAGATTGTCAAAACATTTAAGATTGAGAACTGGATATTAATAATATGTAGTCAAGTAGAGGGCTTTATTAACAGATTATTATTTTCCAAACTACATGGTGGATGTTTGTCCTCCAGTCTAGAAAAAGGAAGTTAACTGTCTCTCATATTTCATTTTCTGTTAACTTATTGCTTGCAATATGAGTACTTGCCAGTTATTCTGATTGTTCAATTCAGATTTTGTACAAAAATTACTAGTGCAGGACTGGGCTGATATGCTTCTTAGAATGTACATGAGATGGGGAGAAAAACAGAGATACAAGACCAGGGTGGTTGAGAAATCCTCTGGAGAAGAAGCAGGGATTAAATCTGCCACCATTGAAGTTGAAGGTCGTTATGCGTATGGGTATATATCTGGGGAAAAAGGGACACACCGTATTGTTCGACAATCTCCTTTCAATGCTAAAGGCCTTCGTCAGGTAACAGCTAGTAACAGCTAACTCCTCTTATAGCTCAAGTCAAATTGCAAGATCTGGGACTTTAGGTGAACTATTTTGGTGTTTTCATTTTCTTACTGCTGACTGCTGAGTATTCAATTGGTGTTTTCTTCCCTTCCCCCCCAAAGTATCCAATGGGTTGTCCCCCCCCCCTTTTTTCCTGAAGGAACCCAATAACTGGCCAAACACTGTTTTTTATCCACATTTTTGATCTGTCATGAGTTGTTGATTAGGAGCTAAAGTGGAATTTTTTATGTTATCCAATGAGGCACACTCATGGGCTTTGAATAACAGATTCGAGCATGAATATCAATATGTTATTCAACGCCTATGAGTCTGCCTCATTGGATAACACCGCAATTACCACTTTAGCTCCTAATGTAATATTGTAAACAGACAAGCTTTTCTGGTGTTGAAGTCATGCCTCTTCTTCCTGAAGAATCTCTGGATGTTGAGATTCCTGAGGAGGACCTGGAAATCAGTTTTTCAAGAGCGGGTGGAAAAGGAGGTCAGAATGTAAATAAGGTTGAAACTGCAGTTCGGATTACGCACATCCCAACTGGTGTTACAGTTCGCTGCACAGGTTCTTTGACATCCTTTGTTATTTATGCAATCTCATTGTGCTTACTGAATCTTGGTTTGTCAATAAATTGGTTGTTCAATAACTTTATCTAGAAAAATAATGAACTGTCGTTTTCTGTGTGTTCAATTTGGAAGCTTTTTCAGGAGACAGTTTGAATTGTCAGCTACAAAAAGCTTCATAATTTTAGACTTTTTATTCGTTGAAATCGGTACATGTCTAACCTTGGGCATTGTACACACCCCAGCATCCAACTTATAATTTTTTTTTTTTAATTTTCCAAGGGATGCCACTTGCTCTTGGTTGTTTTTCTCCTCTATTTGTTTTTTCTTTTTAGTGACTCCAAGGGAAAGTAGTGAAAATTTCAAATGGTGTTGTTTCTAACTTTTTTTAATGGTTAACTGCAATATCTGTGCAGAAGAGAGATCCCAACTAGCAAACAAGATAAAGGCATTAAGCCGTCTAAAAGCTAAGCTGTTAGTGATTGCTGAGGAGCAACGAGCGTCGGAAATCAAGCAGATTCGCGGAGACGCAGTGAAGGCTGAATGGGGACAACAAATACGAAACTACGTTTTCCATCCGTACAAACTCGTAAAAGATGTTAGGACGGGGTATGAAACTTCTGATATTTCTTCAGTTATGGATGGCGAGCTAGAGCCCTTCATCAAGTCTTACCTCAAACACAAGTTCAATATGGCATCATCACAAACATGATGAGGATTAAATTATGTATAGGTGCCAGACATGGTTTCTCTTTGTTGTGTTTTTGTTATGATTCTAAACTATTGAGATCATCTATTAATAGTAAGATTGAGTTGTAGAAGAAAGAAAAATCAAACTCAAAATATAGGATAGAATAAACCCTGTTAGGCCATACCTGATAGCTAGAAGGCTCAAGAATGCATGATGGAAGCCACAACCTCCATATGGGTTTGTAATCCAAGAATCTTCCATGGTTTGGTCTCATAATCTCATTTGTCGATTGGGAAGGTATTTTCTGCTCAGCTTACTTGGCTTCTAATATTCATATTTCATAATTTATATCTTTTAATACCTCCATTATTCTATTATATCTTTTATTATAATCCAATTTATAGGTTTTGATTGGATTAGAATTTTTAAACCTGTACGTATAAATAGAAGACATCCTAGTTATATTGTTGCATTGATATATAAGAAAGCTCTTTTTTTTTTTTCACTCTCCTTTTAACTTTCTCTTTCTCCTATTGTTATTCCCTTTCATCGTTTCACGGTATTAATTATTTAGAACAATTGGCTAAAACAAATATGACTTCATCTGGAAGTTGAATATGTCGCGGCAAATTCTTGAAGAACCATTTTAAGTAGGAAAAATATTTAACGGACTAAAAACGTAGGGTGATACATTATATATTAAATTAAGAAACTTTATTTTTAGAGAACTAAACTGAGAGAAGAATAATCATTCAGGGACGAAATCATTATTTGACTTAAACCTGCTCAAAGAAAAATACTTAAATCTATTCATAGGAAAGCACCGAGTGCCCATGAAAATGAACCTAGAATAAACAGGAATGAACAACATTGATCTCTTTATTATTGTAGGAGGACTGTCATGAACATGAAGATACAAAACACTCTTGGACACTATTTTCTCTTTTTGGACGATGGCTCTAAATTTCTGAATGCTGGGAGTATGAAAGGGAAATTAAGAATCAACAATCATTCTAGAATGTGTAAAATAAAACCAGGTACAGATCTAACAATGAGAGGATCCTTAAGCAGCTGCAGTGATGCATTGGATTGCCTGCTTGCATATACCAGTCATGGTTTTTTCTGGTCCATAGACCTGTAAATACACCCAGAAAAATGGTCAGACCCAGTTGTTTTGGACAAAATATGACCTTCCACAGAACAGAGGATTTAATTGTGTTTGCAGTTTCCATGGGATTTGTGTCTCATATAATGCTTAGTTTGTCTTACTTGCCTTTGGATAATTTCCATTCACATGTGAATGCAGAGGATGCATTCTAAGAGTGAAAGACATAAGAGAATGTGGTTGTATATAAGGCCCACACCTCATACTAAGAGAATGGGATCTACCATTCCATTTTGATTTTAATCCCTCTGAATTTACGCTAATAATTTTATGAAAGTAAAGGATCCGGTCATTGTGTATTGTTGTCTGGCTTGGCTCTTTAATCATATCTACTCGTTTGACACAAAAAATGAGGACCAGATACTTATGGTGTTACCAATGAAGCTTTGAGGAGTAAGTTATATAACCTCAATAGGGAGGCCGATATCTTCTCCAAGAGCCCGCATTTTTGCTAGACCTTTCTGATAGTTGGGACCTCCTCTCCTCACATATATGTGCATCCTTGCCGCTTTTAGCTGTACCTCCTGGATTGCAAAACCTTAACGTTCAACTATCTGTACTACCAATTGGATGATTTAAGCTATACCATGATGATATACTGATATGCTTTACCTTCTCCTTAAGTGCTCGAATTATGCCATTAAATGTAGCAGCAACATCAGTGAAGTTTGCTATCCCTCCTCCAATCACAAGTGCTCTCTTTTGGCCATCAGGGTTTGCTGTTGCACACTGCAAAAGAAACGTTTGGATTATCATAGAGATACAGAAAACCTGTCGCTATAAGTTGCAGTGTTAAAAATCATTTTCATAGGTCATCTTTGGATTCTCCTAATAAGGTATTGATTAAGATAGTAAAGTAACAATGCTGGATCTCTAAATTCAATTGTAGAAGCAGAGCACAAATAACATGAAGATGAGGTTTACTTACATCAATTACAACTCTGGCATACTGCAAGACCTCCTCTTCCTTGGGAGCTCCACTGTATTCTGCGTAGTTTCCAAGTTCAGATGCATATCCAAGATCTCCAACCTGTTTAGATCATTAAATTTGATAGTTTAGTTCCATGAGAAAACAGATTAGCTGAATTTCATTTTTAAATTTAAAAGAGACGCACCGTGTCAGCATAGATGACACTAGCACCTCCCCCGGCTACCATTGTCCAAATTCGGCCTGCTGGGTTCAGCACTGTGAACTTCAGAGATGCGCTAGTCTGCAAGCAATATCAACGCTTGTTCGTCTTAAAATATTTCACTAACAAAATAATTTATAACACATGGTCACTAGACACAATAGTATTATTGGTGAGAGACTAATATGAGGGGTTCAAATATTTCTTAAGAGGGCTAAGATCTGCATTTATTTCTAATTACCAAAGATAGGATGTTCTCTGTGAAATAAGTATTGAATTATAGTTATGCAAGAGGAAAATAATTTCATTGGTTAACTCTTGTTCATAAATGGAAACAAAAGGTTATACCCCTCCACACACACCCACACGTCAAAGGTACAATATTTTCTCACCTTTTCATCTAATCCATGGATGACACTCTCTGTGGGACTCATAACCCTCCCAAACGGCATTGGAAATTCAATGTTTCCCCATCTGTTGCAGGTTAAACAGATTAGGAATTGGAGTTAAACAGTATTCTTTGAAGAAGATTTGAAATCCATACTTACTTTTTGAAGTTCTTGAAAGCAGCGGTGTCATCTAGCTCGCCTCTCATATCCAAAGGATAAGGCTTTCCCTTGACCAATGTGAAAGGGTTCATTTCTAGGAAAGTGAAATCCAGGTCTGATACACGAAGAAAAAAAGGGAAATTCAAATTCAAATGAAATAATAAAGTTGTCCCCTAATCCGTTGCATAAATACGTCCTCTTATAAATACCTTGAAATAAAGCAAAAACCACCTTGAGGAATTCCTCAATTTCTCCCCTGATCTGTTGCATGCATGAAGAGAGATTATTATAAATAACGCAGACAGTCAATTCCATCACCCATTGATTTAAATTCAAAGTAACAGGCCAAAATACAGGTAAAGAAAAACGTCAAAAAGATGTCCTGTTCATACAATGACATGTCATCGAGGAAACAGAATTTACCTCCAAGGGAAGGGTTGCAATAAGTGGAGCAACGATTTCAGATGTAAGAGGCACTCCTGTTGGAACAAATACTGTCTTAACCTGAAATGCGAAATAAACCAAATTTTAGCTTATGCTACTCTGAGGGAAGGATATGTGAGTGAACATATATTGATTAATAAATCAGTAAGGTGAAAAATCAGCACTGTAACACCTTATCCCAGTTCTCTTCAATTTCAATTCCTCCACATTCTGAAAAGCTTATACTGTTCCCAAGTCTCTCTGAGACAATGTTAAGGTAGAACTCTTTATTGTGTGGGATGAAAGGCTCAACAATGAAGGTTGTTATTGGTCCTTTACATCCACTCATCTCAACCTATACATAACAAGATTTATGACCAAACATTTCGGGAGCATACAGAAAGACCAAAAAGGAAAGAACATGCAAGAAAGGTTAACTTCACAAGGGGAGGGAAAGCACCTCTTTGCCAAGACGCTCTTTCACAAAAGATATAACTTGTGCCAAATCCAGATTCAAGGCAACCAAACCACTTTTACCACGCTTTCCAAATAACATGTCAGGTTTCACAACCAATTTGGAAGTTGAAAGCCATGGTTCCTTCTCCACTAGCTGATTAAAATCAGTGGACTCTGTAATCTGAGGCATTAAACACAGAGAGAAACATATTTGAAAATTAAGCCTGATGTGCATTCAACATGCATGTCTTCTGGCCCAAAAAAAAAAAATGCATGTCTAAGGCGCAGATAACTGGTTTATGAACTTAAAGAATTGTTTACTTTTAATTATGGAGTAACATAGACTGAAGAGTAAATACCAGTAAAATTTTCAAATGGAAATGGAGCTTTCTTGATTTGATTAGGGAATTTCAGAGAAGAAGGTTCAGAGCATATATTTTCAGATATAAACTTAACATTTCAAATGTAAATTGTAATTACCACGCTGATACTTTCACAAACACGAAAAACGGAAAAAAAAAAAAGATACTAGCGTTTATAATAAGCTTGTAAGATCTTGGACGATAAACTCAATTGCAAGCTACGGAGATTGATATATGACTATTGTACTCTCCTAATAAAGTTATTGATAGACGTGTAGCATCCCTTGAAAGTGCAATCCCACGAGGTGAGCTCTGTTACTATCTTATATAAGGGAAACATACATGATGATTAGAGTTTAATATTGGATTTAAATAACAATGAGGTCATAAACTTTACACTGAAACTAACATTCACAAGCCCAAATTGATAATCAGCTTAATCCAGCAGAATTGGGATACAAGATTGAAATCTAAGTAAACTTATGGATGAAATTTTTAGAGGCGTGAGCACAAGAAATACTGATAGAAACGACAAGCGTACATACTTGTGCAGACTTAACAGGTAACTCATAGCCAGAGAGTCTCTTAAAATGCTCCTTCAACAATCTCTTGGAATCGTACTCTCTGATCTTCTTGCGCGCCATTTCTTCTTGGTCTATTTATCAAAAATAATAATAATAATAAACACAATCAAATCAGCAACTCATTATATCGGACCCAAACGATCAAACCAAACAAAATGTGCAATAGTTTTCAGAAAACAGCATCTCATTTCATCTCGCAATAGAAATCCTACACTAAATTCTTCAGAAACCTCAAAATTCAAAGCGAAATGAAGGAATCAGAACGGTGAAAGCAGCGAAGTCAAATGCGGAAAGGGAATGAAGAAGGTCCGGGAATGGCATTTACCGTTTGAAACAGGAAAGAGGTGGGAAGAAGCAGAGGCAGGTGGGTAGTTAGATCCCAACCAACAGCTGAATGATGGGAGTGGTAGAGCTGCATGTATTTATAACTAAAGCTTTGATTTTTACCAAAGGCCAAAAAAAAAAAAAAAACAAGAAGAAGAAGAAATAATAAAAGTGAGGGTTAAGAATTAAGAAATTAGAAGGGGAGGTAGAAGGATCCAGAGGGTTACCTAACTCGCGGGACCAACATTTCAAGCTTTCAGCCACGACTTCTCTGTTGCGAACTGTGAAGCAGGTGGCGGTGGTTGACGCCGTGGATCTTGATGGCGTGGTGCAGGAATCACCCCTGAGCATTACTATCTGTTACTGCTCCCTTCATTTTAAATTATAAAATATTTTTAAATAAAATTTTATACATTAATAAATTTTATTAAATATATTTAATAATTTTATTTTTAAAAATATAAATTTTTAAAAATATTCCTCATTTAATATATTAAAATAAAAAAAGACATGAATTAATTATAAAAAAATAATAATATTAAAATTAATGTATTTAATTAAACTTTAATCTATTTAAAATATTTTATATTTTAAAATAAATTTTTTTTAAAAGTATCATATAATTTAGAATGAAGGAAGTATTATTCTTTTTGTTTGAAAAATTAATTATTTAATTTCATATTTTTAATTTAATTTTAACTCAATCCTTAGGCCTTATTCCAAACAACTTGGTTCATATACTTTCACTCAGCTGTAAATTAGTCTTTAATTTTTAAGTCAGTGTAACTCAATTCCTCTAATTTTAGTCATTTAAAACTTTAGTTCCTAAACTTTGATAATAATAACAACTATTATTTATAATTTTATTTTTTAAAATATAATGACTAATATTTTAAATAAATAAAACTATAGTGACAGAGTTGTGAGAGTTAAAACTATAAGATGGATAAAGTTTTAATTAAGTTAAAACTATATAAACTGAATTGTATTAAATTGAAATTTATAAATTAAAGTGTAGCTATCTCATGATTATATAAATAAAATGATTAATTTTTTCCTTCTTTTGTGATACATATGTCTGTACTCCCTCCTTCCTTTGTGCTTGTGCTATCCACCCCCCCCCCCCTCTTTTTCTCTTTCATTTTGTTCCTAAGCAATGGTGCGTAGATGTCTTGTTATTTTAGGTCATTTTGTGCATCGAAATTTAGCTCGCCATAATGTGAGGATTAGCTCTTCTGCTATACTCAAATCTCGTTGTTTTAAAAATATTTATTATCATAAGTTTTCCCTTTCATCTCTATTGAATATTGGAGAAAAAATATATTATTTAAATATGTATATTTCATAAAATAAATTTAATTTATTAAATTTTTAGACAACGTTAATGAGTCTTAAGATTTTTTTTTAATTCTAGTAAATGTACTAAAAGTAATTTATGTATAGGACTAGAAGAAATATATAAGGCATTCTCTAAGGGATAAAGTTAGTTTAATTTACCAGGAGTTGTTGTGAGAAATACCAAATGAGTTTCTTTTTCAAAGGAAAAAAAAAAATACGAAATGACTTTTCTTTTTCACCCTTAAAATTTTAATAGTAGCCTGGTGACTTGCGCTGAAAAATATAATTAAAATATTTTTTAATTTTAATAAATAAATCCAAATAAGAAATTTTCTTGAAAATGTCTTTGACATTTTATAATAACTACGGGATATTTTAGGATTTTATGCTCAAGCTTTATTTCGATGTGTTGATTTTTTTTTTAAAACAAGTCTGGATTCTATGGGTCTTTTTGATTTTTATTCTCATTTTTTATTTTTAAAAATTATTTTCTAATATAGTATCCAAATTTTTTTAAAACAAAAAAATGAAAATCCATTACATTAATTTAAAAATAATTTTAGAATTAAAAAGAGACTAACAGTGATGGTTATAGGAGTTAATGTTAGTAATTTATGATAGAAATTAATTAAGATAATTATAACTTTTAATAACCAAATGTATTATGTTTTAAAATAAAAAATATAAATAATTTTAAAAATAATTAAATAAAAACAGTTATATACATTTTTTTCATTTTTATATTTTCAAAACTAAAGAACAATTTTTAAAAACTAAAACAAGCATGTTCTATTTAACGTGACCGTGTTTGTGGGGCCTTAGGGCTGTTTGTTTTTAAAAATTATTTTTTATGAAAAAATTGGTCGGATAAGTATTTTTCATTTAATTATTTTTAAAATTGTTTTTATTTTTATTTTTTAAAAAACATAGAAATAAAAATTATAATTATCTTAATCAATTTCTATTATTAATCACACCATTACTGCCAATAACCATTATATCAATTTATTTTTAAATTTTACAATTATTTTTTAATTGAAAGAACCCAACATATTTTCATTTTATTTTTTTAAATAATTTTAAAAATTATATTATAAATTAATTTTTAAAAATAAAAAATGAACATAAAAACTAAACAAGTCTTGGTATTATCTTTTGAGATTCTTTTTTTTTTTTTTCGGCCAGCATCTTTGACTTTGGGATTCCACTTTATTATATGGTGCTCGTGCAAAATGAGGAGTGTCATTTTGTGAAATCCACTAATTAAAATATAACTTCAGTTGACTTGTTTGAGTTTCATTTTGCCATATGTATACTAAACATGTTGTGATGATGATAAAAAATAAAAGAAATATTGGAAATATATAAAGTTTAAAATGTATTAAGCTATTTTAGTGAACTAAATTATTCTCTAGCATACTTAATTTAAAAAATTAACAAGATAATTAAAAAATTGATTAGAAATATGTAAAACTTAGCGTGTGGCCAACCAATGATTTAAGTTATTTTAATGAAACAGAGCATCTTCAAACATATTATCCCTTTGGTATTAGTTAGTGCCTATTTAAATTTAATTGGGTATAATAGATTATAAAAATAATTGATTAAATGATAAATTTTAATAATAATTAATTATGTTATAACACAATCTATTTAGACATAATTCTTTTAAAATTAATTTTGACAAATTTAAAAATATTTAGATAATTTATTCAGAATTAATTTTTGTTGTATAAATTACCATAAAGGATATTTCCTTTCAAAATTAATTATTAATAATTTTGAATCTAATTTTATTAAATTTTTTATATTTTATTTGAAAATTAAAATATATTATTTAAATTACATATCTAATTAATTATAAAATTTAAATTATATTAATATTAACATTTAAATTACTTAAATACATAATTTAATATTTTAGTTAAAATAAATTTAATAAAAGAGAAAGATTTAATTTTTAAATATTAAATATTAATTTTACAATAATTAATGGAGATGATAATATATAAATTGATCTCTAATAACACCATGGATATGAGTTATATTTAACGAAGATGTTATGCAATGCCATAAAATTTTAGCAACATAAAAAATATAGCAATATAATGAATGACGCAAAATCTCTTTCTCTGGACCTTTGTAACAATTTTTGTAATAACCTTAAATTTTAAATTAAATTAAATTAATTTTTCTCTACAATTAATAATTTATTTGAATTAATTTTTTAATAAGTGCTAAGTGAATGATGGTGGTTGACAGAAACTTATGTTAGTAATTTTTTTAAAAATTTAAAATTTAAATTTTATTAAAAAAAGAGAGAATTTAATTTTATTTTTATTTAATATTGAGCTTTTTTATAATTTTTTTTAAGTCTTTCTTTGTCATTTTTTCCTAACATTTTTTGAATACCTTTTTCGGAGAAGCCAGAGACCTCATGAAAAAACGTGCGTTTAAAACCTAGAATCGATTTTTGGCTTTTTTTGGTTTTTTGGATAATTTAGCCCAAAAAATTAATTTTAAATTATTTAATTAATTTTGGCCCTTATTCAAACACATACTTATAAGATACTTTTAACATATTTCACTGAATTTTTTTTAAGAAAGCTTATTAATTTTGTTTAAAAATTTAATAATCTCTTAATTTTACCCCTATTAATTATACATATTTTAATAATATATTTTTTCTCTTCAACTTTTAATAGAGGTCAAATAAAAAAATTTGTGATAAAAATTTACTGAGATGATTTATAAATAGGATAAATAATTTTTTTTACTTTGTAAATAAAATTAGAGGAGTATTTAATGTAAAAAATTCAACAATGATGATAATGATAATTAAAGAGTAAAATATTCTTAGGTAAAAACAGTGTAATTTTTACTCAAAAAAAGTGTACTTTAAATTTTGGATAATAAACTCCTGCATTAGCGTAATTTTGACAGAAAATCCTTCACGTTTTATACTTTTTATTTTCACTAGTTATAATTTGTTCTTCTTCAATGAAAAACTAATAATTGTGACGCTAGGCGACCATAATAAAATTATATTTTGAGTTAAGATATATTTTTATCTTTAAAATATTTACAAAATGCACCTAATACCCTAAACCTAAAACATTGATTGTAGTAATGTTACGCTTAAAGCGTTAAAAGAAGAGCAATTTTATTTGGGTGACATAGGACCCACACACATGTCCAGTGCAGTACACGTGGCATTTATGTGCAGAACTTGAAGGGGAAGACGATAGGGAAGAGTTGATGTGGGCTGCAATCGAGAGGCTATCGACTTATGATAGATTAAGGAAGGGCATGCTGAGGCAGATCTACATATTAATTTGGGTCTAAGTTATGTTCGGTCAGATTTTCAAACGATCAACATTGTATATTTAACGTTAGAGTAAAGAATATTGCATTTTAGTTATTTTAAAAATAAAAATATTATACCAAATAGTTTAAAATATTTGATATTTATTGAAGAATATTTTAATGGTAAAATTATACATTTATCATTTTATTCTTAAAACTTCATTTCTAGATTTCTTTTTTAAATTTTACGTTAATTTTGAATGAAATAGTTATTATTTTAATTTTGGTTGCAATTTTGATTTTGCACCTATAAATTATTTCATTCGTGGCTTCAAACTTAGACAGCCACCATTTTTAGAGTATTTAAAAAAAACTGAGAAACTAAACTCGTAGTAATTTGCTTATTTTATTGTCGAGGAGGATATCAATAAATGACTTTTAAAATAATTTAATATTTGCTAAGGATTTGGATGCCTCACATACTTGTTTTTTTTTTTCCTTTGCCAAAGATGGATCACATACTTGTTAAAACAAGAACTTCACTTATTAATTGTTAATATTTATTTATTAGCAGCCTTTTTATGAAATAAAATTGCTTCTAAGGTCTTTTATTGATGTTCTCCCCATTTATTAAGTATAAGCAACCATTACAAGTTAGCTAGGCCAGTTTAATTA